CTTATTGAGCTTAATAAAAGCAAACATGAAACTGATCTATACCCGGTGCTTTAGTACCTCCAATACTGAAAATGTTATCCTTAACTTCAACAGGGTCAATCTCTATATTAAGTGATCTAATATCATCCAAATGAATAAAAGGAAAGAGTTTAAGTAGAGAAGTAACATGTCTAGACCATTGCCCATGAGAAGACTGTTTGAAAGTACTCCACATCAAGACTCTTCAAGTCATCAGGGTCTAGAATCCGTTCAACTTTGTCATTCTTTAGTCCTTCAATTCTATTTCTCCTTCTCCTCACAATCGTGGTAAGATGAAAAAATTTGGTATTACGATCGCCGTTTTGTAACTATTTCAATCTAGACTTTTAATGCCAGAAGACAACTTTCTGATTTAAAATTTGTTGAACTCTAAAATGAATTCCCGCTCCAAGTTGAGAAGAAAACTGTTTGGGGCTCTACACAATGCTTTATGGATACCAACAATGCGTCCAAAGAGCTTCCTCTTCTTCTGTTTTAAGTATCTAAAGACATGAATATTCCATCTTTTCAGAGACTCAACTAGAGCACAAGTTTTGTTCATGGCAGAACCATTAGAATTACCCCAATTTTCTGCAATAAGCTCATTAAATGCGTCATGCCTAAGCCACATAGCCTCAAATCTAAAAAGTCTTTGAAGAGGATTGGGGACATGCGTGGATTGAAGATTGATTTTGAGAGGACAATGATCAGATTTAGTATTTGGTAAATGGAAAACACATGCTTTTGGGAATAAGTTTCTCCAAGCCATATTACATAAGCCTCTATCAATTCTTTCTAGAGTCTTCTTGTTAATACAAGTTAATTTAGGACCAACATATCCCAAGTCCAGTAGACTATTTATATCCACCCGAGATTTAAAGTCCTTGGTCTTATAAAGAGGAGCACCACCAAGTTTATCACCTACCTCTACCATTTCATTGAAATCCCCTGCTAGCATCCATGGCATTTGGTGGCAGTTAGCTACACTATTAAGGTAATCCCATAATTTTCTTCTATTCGCAATACAAGGGTTAGCATAAATGAACGTAAACAACCAGGGGTTATAACCAGCTCCCCTCACACAAGCCGAGATGGATTGATCAGTGGTGCCAATGACATCAATATGAACCTTGCTGTTATCCCAAAGAAGTCATAGCCCTCCAGAAAACCCATTAGCATCCATTATTTCAAATGAAGGAAAACCTAGCGATTTGACCATAGAAATGGCTCTCGTACAACTAATTCTAGGCTCATAAATCGCAAGAATCTCCATTTTGTGGTTCTGCTTTAAATTAGTAACATTATTATGAAATTTGGTGTAGCCAGATCCTCTAGAATTCCACACAATTATATTCTTGCTTAAAATTAATACGGATTGAGAAAATAGAGAGCCAACATCATCCAACACCAAGCACCACACTTCTAAAAATGTTGACAGAACACATACCCATCATATAAAAATCCGACATTATCTCCCGACAGATCAAAGGCCAAGATACCCAGAAAATCAAGAACATAGAAAACCCTATATATTTGCAGCTACAAATTAACAAAATTGTGGAATATTACATAAATTTAGGGCGAATTACCAAATTAACTTAGATGGATTACTAGGCCGCAATCATCTGCATCAACAACAAGGATTGAAAGAAGGATTTTCCTTCGATTAGCATGAGGGCTAGTTTGCTTTCACTAAGGAGAGATAATTTATTGCAAGGGAGAAATGAGAAAAAACTCTACAAGCAAAAAGGAAATATTTTAATAAAAATGTGTGGTTGAAAAAATGGAAGAGATGTATGATTCGACTGGGATATAGGGAGGAGATTGTTAAAGATGCCAAGAACACTGTATAGAAAGCAGGAACTAGAAAGAATAGGGAAAAATGGCTAACGAGGGAGAATCTTGAGAAAAGGTTGGATTGGGAGGGCAAATCTGGGGGAGATGAGAAGAAGAGTTGAGGGCCCATCGGGAAAAGGAATAGCACGAAGAAGCTCACAGATAAGGGGAGTTCTCACAAAAGAAATGGTTTTTTTTGTTAGAAGAGTTGAAACTTTGTTCATTGCTAGAGTCACAAAATTTAAATTTAGGCATAAAAGTGGGACGAAAAAAACTTTAGGTATGAAAGTTGGAATTTAACAATAAGTAAGAATTACCAAAAAACCTCAAAGGTGTATGTGCACTTATGCATCATAACCCAAATAAATTTCTTAAAATAAAATCTCAACCCCAAAAATAGAAATTGAAGATTTAGAATTTTCTCATAACTAAAAGTCTAAAATGTTGGTTTTCAAACTTAGATTATACACTCAAATCCTAATTATCAAACACAACCAAATATATAATACACCATCGTGTGATTCATCATTGCCAATAATCGAACCCAAGACGTGCCGAGCTACTGAAATTTATTAAAATTGGTACCAGACGGAATATCCTTTATATAAAAATTATAATATGCTAGACTGACTAGCCAAGCCTGCTAGTCAACTAAAATAGATTTGTTAGTCAATATATCAAAGATTCAATAACCAATTTAAAATGTCAAAAGCTATCCTAGTCAGTACTGCTTCAGTTCATTCCAAGTTATTATTGTGTCAAGTGAGCATGATTGTGAGCACATATAAATTAAATATTCAAGTGATACACGTAGCATGTATATGTATGCGAGATATGCGACACAATATAAATAACTTTGAACACAAGATATTTTTGGCCTGAAAAATCCACCTCTGGGTTAAAAAAAAGGGACTCTCTACTGAGTCCAATCCACTAGTATAATCAAGATTCTTACAAAGTACCACACAAAGCTCAATTCCTAGACCTAGTCTACGAAACAGCTTTATCTTTATGCAACCTTGCCTTACACAAGATGAATTCCTTTGGTTTTCACGAAGTGGCAGTTTTTCCTGAGTTCTTCACCTTGTGGCACCGAAAATGTGTTGTCTCCACTCTTCACAAGATGACAACTCCTCCTGAACTCTTCACCTTGTGGCACCAAGACCAACACACAAGCTATGCATATGATGATATAGCGATGATATGCAAATCTTGATTCAAATGTCCAGTCAATTTCTCCAATCAAACTATTTAAGGAAGAAACTAACGAGAATCCTAATTGGGTCAGTTTTAAAGATTTGAAACTAGAAACACTTGACTCCAAATTTAATGCAAAACCAAAGACAATGCAACCCTCATAAGAAAGTAAACTCTCTATGGTCGAGCAAGTAAACTACCTAACATCTCTTTTTCATAAAGCATTGGAATAGTGACGAGAACTTGGAATTAGAATCTTTTTCCTGATCTTCGTGAGGTTAGTTGTAGCTTTGAGATCTCCTGTATCAAAATAAAATTCTAATCCAAATTCAAATACGGATTGACGTTTTTTTTTTCGAAAAATCGTAAAATCGAAATGTCATGCCATAAGAAAAAATATGGGAGAATATGAATAAATATTTTTTATTTAATGTTTTCCACAAAATGGTGACGAAGGGGATAACTTGTATAAATCTTTACATTTTCCAATTCAATGTGTTTAATGCATGAAGAAGGTTTTGCAACTAGGGTTTCATAAATGAAGAACAAAGAGCAAGGCGATACCTTAATGCCCTTTTCTCTCTTTCTCTCACTAGGAATATAATATGAAAATCCCAAAATGAACAAAGGAATCAACTAAGAATCTTAAACCCAAAAGCTTTGGTTCATTTTTCAACCCACATGACACGTGTCAAGCTTCAAAACAATTTTAAAAGATTAAAAATGACAAATAGACATTCACTAGAAAGTTGTCAGTTAGCCTTTGTGGGCAGGTCTTAAATTACGTGCCCATCTTGCTAGAAATCCTCTCGTACGGTTGACTAGACAACTAAGCTAGTCAGAATGAAACAAGAATATAGACGTGAAATGCACACGCATGAACAAATCTTTTGGAATGAGATGTGTTACATCCTTGAACATATATTTCCAGCAGACACAGCCCATAAACAGAGAAAAGCTTAAACCTAGATTGAGCATGTGGTACACTTATAATGTTGACAAGAAAAACCAAACCTAAAAGTCTAGACTTCAGATTTATTCACTCAACTAATTTGGTTGCTTTTTAACAATTGTTACTATCTAAGATTGATGTTGGATTGCCTTGTGATAATATAAGTTTTGTTAGTGTTTGGAGTTTTTTTTTTTTAATCTTAAGGGGTTTAAATGGTCATTTCATATAAAAGTACTAAAGTCATTTAATAATAAGTGTACTTAACAATATATGAGGTGCTAATAGAAAAATCTTATAATATATACTAAGTAGAAAATGGAATTTTTTTTAGTAAATTGTAGTAATGATCCCTTAACTTTAACTCAATTGGAGCAATAATCCCTCAACTAAAACTCTATTACCATTGGTCTCTTAACTCATCAAAACGTGCAACTATGGTTCCTCAACTTTAATCCAATTGGAGAAATGATCCCTTAATTTTAATCCAATTGGAGAAATTGTCCCTTAATTTTAATCCAATTGGAGCAATGGTCTCTCAACTTTAATCAAATTGTAGCAATGGTCCTTCAACTTTAATCCAATTGTAGCAATGATTCTTCAAACATAACTCATTTTGACAAAATTCTGACGAAGTTGATGAAAAGGACCATAGCTACATGTTTTTATGAGTTGAGAGACCCAATTGTAGTAATAATCATTCCAACATAACTTATTTTAACAAAATTCTAACAAAATTGACGAAAAATGCCATAACTATACATTTTGATGAATTGAGGAACTAATGATAATGAATTTTTAGTTGATGGATCATTACTCAAATTTAATTAAAGTTAAATGATCATTGTTACAATTTACTCTTTTTTTTAATAGAGCAATAACATTGATATTTAACTGCTAGATGGAAGGAGAGTTGGTGAGAATCGAACTCACAACATACATCATGTATCTGGAAAACTGTAAAATTATAAATAATTATTTATTTATTAATTTGGGTGCCTTTTATTCTTAGAAGTCCAGAAACGTCGTCGACATCCAAAACTGAAAGGATATTCCCCAAAACCCGCTTTCAAAATTTTTGTTCCCACCTCATCCTTTCTTCTACACTCTCCACCTACCTAAAAAGGTGCACGACCGCCCTTTCCTTGTCTCTCTCTGTTTCTCAACTTCATTAATTTTTTTCCTTTTCCTCTTAATTTCTGCTTTTAATTGATTTTGTTTCTCTTTTGGGGGCTGATTTAGGGTTAGGGTTAGGGTTTTTGAATTCCCCAAACCACTGAGAAATTTGGGAGGGAAAAAAAGATGCAGCAGCCACCGCAAATGATCCCCGTCATGCCTTCATTTCCGCCCACCAACATCACCACCGAGCAAATTCAGAAGGTACTCTTTTTCCCATTTCGCTCAATTTTTATCTCTTAATTGTTTTTAGAAACTAATTGGCCTTCTGGGTTTTCTGGTTTGTTTCTTAATTTTTTGTTATGTTAATTCATTCCCTCCCCCCACCCCCCAATAGTTTGATGCATATGCTAAATGTTAAAAAACAAGGCTTAAATTGTGTACTTGAATAAAATTTGTTAAATTTTGTCCATATAGAAAAGATTGCACTTTTGCTGACAATATTTAGGGAGGAATTCCATAAGTCTTGCCATCGTTGTATAGTTTATAAGTAAACTAATGAAAATGATTTGAAAATTTTGAGTTTTAACAAAATAAAGGTTAAATGAATAGTATTATTTTTTATAATAAAAATGTAGTTTTTCGTTAAAGTAAACAGTACCGGAAGATTTTTATTAAAATTCCCTTCTTTCTATGGAGTGATGTATGAGGTGATTTGGGAGTAAGATGCTTAAAAAAAAAACATCTATGAAAAAAAACTGCGAGGGTTTTAGTTGTTTGGTAAACTGAAAAAAAAATGGCTTATTTTGGAAGCTGCTGTGAGAATAAGCTGAAATCATAGGAAAAAGCTGCTATTTGCAACTTTGGAAAACTGATTTTTTTTCAAAGCACACGGAGCTACTGTGCTCCTTTAATGAAAAGACTCATTATCAGACTGATTTTTTTCTTTCCAAAAACACTTTTACAAAAAAGTTTACCAAACACTCTGCTGATTTATTTCACAGCTGCTTATTTTCACAGCAGTTTTTTTTCAAAGCACAGCAATACCAAACCAGTCCTGTGATTGGTGATGATCATTTATAGCAATTAAGCCAATAAGAATACAGATTCATATTGTACAAAGCGTATGAACTGGTGACATATGAATGATGTTCAGGAAGAAACCTTTAACAAAGCTACGTATCCCCCCCCCCACATCGACTGGGTAGTTAATCAATCATCGCCCATTAAAGTATGAAAGAATTTAATAAAGTTAGGGTAATAACTAAAGATTATAAACATATTTCTCCAAATAAGGAATCCTAGTTCACAGTAATAGGGGAACATTCTTCTTGATTTAAAAGAAAAACCCACAGGAAACAGTCTTCAGTTGGTGTTTTTCGAACATCTTGTTGAAACATTAGGGATGCTTAGGAGTTCTTGTAGTTTATTCTCCTAACCTGTGTGAAGTGCCTTTTTAATGTCTGTTAAGAATTTTTCCTCCGTCAGCCTAGTTCTAGTGGTGAATCGTGATTCAGGCCACTGGTTTTCCTGTTGAGAAGCTATCTAGATACTCTACTGCTGTGCAGATAGTACTCCACTGGTCCACCTCCGCTCCGAGTCTCCTCTGAAAAGTGTAGCTGAAGGGCACACATGATATATTTCTCTTGTCACCAAAGATGTCTTATCTCACAAGATCAGGATTCTTGATAGCATAGGCAAAATGATTTACTGTTTTGAATTTTGATAAATTCTAGTTGATATGGTAGTGGCATGAGTAGCGGTGGTCTTTTGGTAAATTTGCTGAAAGCTTTGTGCTTGTGAGATGGCTTATAGGTTAGATGCATGACAAATCATTTGATAAAATGTCTATTTGGGATGTGCTAATCAGTCTTGAACTGAGCTAATAAGTAGTTAGATGAAAGTAACAGATAAGGTGGATGTATTTCTTGTTACTACTGTAGAAATTTCCATCTAAGCCCGAAACTATTTTGAAAGGTTGAATTATGCTTTTTGAACCTAAATTGATGAAGAATTAAGGGCATAAGATGATTATTACCAGCACTAGATGTTGGTATCGTATGTTGTTGTCATATGCAGGTTTTAGGATGACGCTTGGCCCTTTCTTTATCTTGAACAATGTTGCTCTCTTTTGGATATCCACCTTGATTGTCAAATATATTGGATTTCACTTGATGTGCGTGGGAATTAAAATTATTTATTAATAATGTGTTTTTATAATCCTTTATGCAGTATCTTGATGACAACAAAAAGTTGATTCTGGCAATATTGGATAATCAAAATCTTGGAAAACTTGCCGAGTGTGCTCAGTAAGCCCTCTCTCTCTCTCTCCGCATGTGTTGTATGCATGTGAAATATGTTTTGAATCATATGCTGGGGCTGTATAATGCACTTGTATCTTGTAAGTTAGAGATGAGTCTGACTGATTAGAGATGTTAATTTTGAACTAGCCTCAGCCCTCATGGTTTGTATTGATAGCATTGATTATAAGATCCTTAATGTTGAGAACTTGTTAGGTCTTTGATTTATTTTTACTGTGGGATTAGTCAAAATTATTTTGCATAAAAATACGCATGGCTATGGTTTGGCTTACACATTTATTGATATGGTGGGGCTACCGTTGGCCATTCATTTAATGCTATCTCCCAGTTATGACTTCGGATATGACTTTCTATTCTTAATTCATGGCCACAATGTGACATATACTTATTGTAATTGTGATGATTTAGGTACCAAGCTCAGCTTCAAAAGAATCTGATGTATTTAGCAGCAATTGCCGATGCGCAGCCACAGGCACCAGCAGTGCCTGCCCAGGTGGGGGTAGCAAGCATGCCTGGATGTTTGGCTAATTCGTTTTTTCTATCCACACTTATCATCTATGTTTTAACACTTGCAGATGGCCCCACATCCTGCCATGCAACAGGCGGGATATTACATGCAACATCCTCAGGCAGCAGCAATGGCTCAGCAACAGGGTATTTTCCCCCCAAAAATGCCGATGCAGTTCAATAACATGCATCAAATGCATGACCCGCAGCAGCAGCAGCAGCTACATCAGCAGCACCAACAAGCCATGCAAGGGCAAATGGGAATGAGACCCGGGGGGGCCAACGGCATGCCTTCCATGCATCATACTGAGGGCTCATTTGGTGGTGGTAGTGGCGGCCCAAACTCAGTGGGAGGCCCAAATGATGGGCGTGGAGGAAGCAAGCAAGACGCCTCGGATGCTGGGGCCGGTGGTGATGGCCAGGGGAGCTCAGCTGGTGGGCATGGCAACGGTGATGGAGAGGACGGCAAGTGAATTGGCCCTTAAGGATGATTCCACATGGAAACATGTGCCTGTTGATAGTAGGTATTTTCCTAAAGTAGCTGCTGTGCTCGGTGACGTGTGACAGATCGAGCAAAGCAGTGAAAGTTGTCTGTTCTTTAGTCTTGAAGGGATTAGGTAGACGAGTTGTGTTGCAAGTCCCTTTGCATGTAGTGGATCTTGGCATCAGATGAAACAAGTGGTGGGATAAGACAGATTTAGTTCATAAGGGCTTTGGAGATGGAAGCATGTGTTCTGCACTTGATGTCTGTCTCAATATGTAACTCATAAACTGCATGCAGCAATGCGCCACAAATTCTGATCCTATTGCAAGTTTTGCTGGTAGGTTTTCGTTTTGCTTTTTCGGTCGTTATGTGTACGGATTTCTTCTTTAGCAAAAATGACTTGATGTCAACAAGGTCAGAGTTCTAAGATTGAAGTTTTAAAAGGCTTTGAATCTCCATACATCTCCAACTTTTTCTTGGAAATTTTAGGGCTTGTTTGGTATCGTATTTGAAATTTTTTATAATTTCTCATAGCATTTCATAAGAATTTTTTTTTAAAACAATTTTCTTTAAAACTCAAAAACTTGGTTGGTATGCGATTTAAAAGTTTTGAATCGTACAACTTAGACTGGACAAAGAAATTCAAAAAGAGGGGGTCAAGAGACAGGAGAGAGGAGGAAAGAAAGTAAGAAATGATTGGAGGAAAGAGAAAGAAGTGAGAGGATTGGAGGAGATAGAGGAAGAGGAGTGAGAGAAAGAACCGAGATAATGAAGAGAGAATTGGAGGAGAGATGAAAATGGTAGATTGGAGGAGAGACGAAAAATGTTTAAAAAATTATAAAAAATTATAAAAAAAAAAAAGAAAGAAGGGGGAGAGAGAAAGAAGAAAAGAGAGATAGATTTAGAGTGGGAGGGGAGGAGGGAGAGAAAAGAAAGGAATGAGTTTAAGTTTAAAATCTTTAAAAACTCATTTTTTGTATTTTTAGTAAGGTTCTAAAAAACGCTAGGCGCTAGTTGAGCGGCGGGAGCGGCTAGGTGGGGTCTAGGCGGTTTAGATGGATTTATGTATATTTATTATATATATTATAAAATAAGAGTATATTTGTAAAATTTTTAGGGCTTTTTATGTTAGTTTATAACATTTACTCAGCCCATATATTTTAATTATTATTGGGCTTTGCTTATTTTCTTGATTAAGATTGGGCTTTACTTTTCATTTAATAAACAACCTTATTTCTTTATATAAAAATAAATTTCTTATTCCTTACTGACATAGACATGGCAAATAGACAGCAACATCTCTCTTTCCACAACGGATCAGGATCCTCTCTTGAGCAAATAGAGAGGATCCTCCTGACCGGGCCCATCAGATCGTTCAAAAGTTATCCAACGGTTATAATTATTATAACTTTTAGTAGAGCCCTCTGGTTGTAGCCGTTGGATAAATTTTAAACGGCCTGATGGGACCGGTGAGGAGGATCTTCTCCATTTGCTCAGGAGAGGATCCTGATCCTTCCACAACTATCTTCCCACTTTAATTTCCTATTAGTCCGTGAAACCTCTTCTCTCTCTCTCTCTCTCTCTCTCTCTCTCTCTCTCTCTCTCTCTCTCTCTCTCTCTCTTTCTCTCTCTCTCTCTCTCTCTCTAGAAACCTCTAGCAAAGCAACCAGGGTTATCTCTCTCTCTCTCTCTCTCGTTTTTTTCTCCAGAAACCTCTAGCAAAGAAATCATGGCTATATCCAAATGCGGACGCAGATGAGAGTTTTGATGCAGATGCGGGAGTTAGAGTTGCAAATCTAATGAGAGTTCGAGACAGTAATAGTTGCAGAGCCTTCAACGCTGGCAAGAATTTCAAACCGCCTTGAGCATCGCCTAGAGCGCCTAGGCGGCCGCCTAGATACCCACTGACTTTTGTAACGATTTCCCCTAAATCGGATCAGGAGACCACCGATGAACGCCTAGGCGGGCGCCTAGAGTGATTTTTAGAACACTGGTTTTTAGAGAATATACTATATATTTTTAGTTAGTCTTGAGTTTAATTTTTGAAAAAGTAGTCATACCAAACAAGTTTTTAAGGCCTAAAACTTGAAAATTATTTTTGAGTTTAAAAAGTTGAATTCAAGTAGAGTACCAAACATACACTTAATGTTAGAGCATCTTCAAATGAGATGCCAAAATATACACATAAGTTATAACAGTAAAAAAAAGACCACATTAATATTCTCCAGCCGAAGTGCCAAATCCTATGTGACGATGACATGGATTGGCAGCAAAAGAGGTTGTTGTCAAATTTGACAACAGCTTGAAATGTTTTTTTATTAATTATTAAATGTATTTTATTAATTTGTAATTCATTTAATCATTTACTATAATTAATGTTGAGTTGACCGATACAATTATCCTACTTTTTTCTTCTTTCCAATCGAGGAAGGGGAACAAATTACTGATTAAACTTTAAATGTCCTTTATTAAATTTTAATTAGTTTAATAATTTATTTTATAAAATAATAATTTAATTTGATATATCGGTTGAAGAATAAAACTTTAAAAGATGTCAAAGTACCATATAAGTTGTCAAAATTTAAATTTTATGTTCAAAATTTGATATTTTCTTTAAAGATGTTCTTATGGGCAGATTTTTTCTGAAGTTTTTGTGCATCCCTTGTGATGCAACATGCAAGAGATAAGGGGCGTTTCCTTTTCCTTTTCATTTTCTATCATTTCCCAAGATGCCAAAGAAACCCTCTTCTGAATTTGACAAGTTATTATTGCTCATCAGTGTCAGCTGTATAATGTACAAGGTGGCAACGTGTAGATACTGGAAAATAAAAATTGACTGACATTGAAATGTTGTTTTTTATTTTGTCGTGTTTTTCGTGATGAAATTTGACTATATAAATTGCGTAGCCGTGTAACGATGTTGACATGACAATCACATCTGTTTTATTTTTTAATTTTTTTTTATTTCGTCGAAACATGTGTTTTACTTTTTGGTACAACAAAATTGCGTGAAGCCGAGTAGCCAACACATTGAGTTATTCAGAATTTTTTTCTTTTCAAAGTAGATTATTTTCATTAAATAAAAATAGTAGTACCTGAAAAAGAAAGTACAAAAGCAGTCCATAACCTAAATGTAAGTCCAACAACAAATAAGAACATATAATAAAAAGGTTCAAAAGTGGCCAACTGAACAATAACAAAAAAACCCTAAAACTGGAATGAAATCCAGCAGCTACAAATGCGCCTCTCTCACAAGACGGCCACCACCACCAAGACAATGAACCAACGAAACAACTATATGAACGGAAAAAGGGGGTCAGCAAGCCACCCGAGCAGTGAGCGCTCTCATAATCCTACCAAATATTGCACTTTAACAGCCACCCAACACATGAGGAGAAGTACACTGGCCGAGTAATTGAGGCCGATGGTTGAGGACGCACGATGGAAAGTAGCAACGAAGCAAGAGAGGGCCATGAAAGTCCAGACCTGAGACAAACACAGGGAAATTGAGACAAAGTTCAAGGAAAGCCAAAACAAAGGCCAAAAGAGAAAAATGCAAAAAATTAAAACCTTTCGAGTGGAAGGATGGAGAAGAGGAAAGATGTAGAAGGTGGAAAAGGAAAGGGAATAGGAAGGAGGACTAGAAGAAGGTGGGAGTCAGGCTACCGCTGACCCCAAGCTGGAGCAAAGGGCAACGGCTAGGGAGGCTTTCAAATCTAGTTTGATGGGTGAGAAAAGGCACAGGTTTGGGAGAGAAGTAACTTTTTTTCACTGTCTCATTTTTCAGGATCTAGTTATGTACATGACCTCTTAATTATCAATATAGAGAAATACTACTCGATTTTGAACACTCAGAAAATCATGTAGTTTCCTCGAATATTTACTTTCATCCTTGGAGGTTTTTTTTTTTTTTTTTTTTACATTTTGCATTTTGCATTTTCGCCCTTGTAGTTTCATTTTGTTAGCATTTGTTAGCTTGATCAGTCAAATACGGTAAACTTTGTTCTAATTTGAGTTTTTCACATGATAAGATGTGCAAAAAATAAACTAATTGATGTATTGGACTAGGACTAGAGTAAAAACAAACGATGCTATAAAGACAGAGAGAGAGAACTACTGTTTGATTTTTTTGAAGTATGATATGCATGTGCTTTAGGAGTTGATCGAATAATGTTAAGAAGACTAAATTTGTAAACTAAATTTGCAAATTAAATGATGTGTCACCAATAAGAAATGAGCACGTTTATCAACGTTTAACTAATAATCCACTTATTAACTTTCATGTCATTTAGTTTACAAAATTTAGTCAACAAATTTAGTCTTCCTAGAATTACTCTTAGGAGTTATGAGCATCTATGACTTATATATTCTACCATGATTCGTATAGGTTTATTTCTAGTTTATCTGGTTTGTTAAATTTTCTTAACTCTACAAAGTTTCGATTTTAGAATTCTTAGGTCATCTCCAACCGAATGGTCCAGATGGCCGAAAAACACCACAAAACCGTCTCCAACCGAGGTCTAGGCCAGAGGGCTCGTGGGCCCCACAAAATCAGAAAATGCCAAAGGGCAAACCAGCTGGCCCAATCTAGCCAGGCAGCCAGCCCCGAGCTTGGCCAGAAATTTGAGCATTCCTGTCGGTTATATCCAATAGGAATGCTAGGTCAAAATTTTAAATACAACAACTAGCTGAGGTTAGCTAGTTGTTATTTTTTTTATAGTTTTTATTTATTTATTTACAATTTTTTTTCCTATAACTTCTATTTTACAAAATTCATTTCATAATTTTTTTTAAATTCTTTTTTTTTTCCTATAACTTCTATTTTACAAAATTTGTTTCAATTTTTTTTTAAATTCTATTTTTTTTCCTATAACTTCATAGAACATTATACAACATTAAATTAAATTAAGTACCATGAAACAACATTAAACAATGTAACGACCCTTCCCGAATTATTATATATTTTCTCCCCGAGTGTGTAAAATGACGAATATGCCCTCGTTGGCTAAGTGACGTGGATGGGTATATGTAGTTTTAAATTATTTTCTCGCCGTTGTAATTAAATCGTACTTGATGTTACAAACGTTAGAATATAATTGCGTCAAAATAGGAAAATAAAACCTAAACCAATCCCAGCTATTCATATATTTCCTAGCCCAATCAAATTTGGGGTTGAAATTATATTTTGGGCCACTTGGACTCTCCCTCTCTCCTTTCCCACACACAGCTGCCCAATGGGGAGCCCTTAATATTTTTCTTTGGCCAACCCGTGACAGATCACACACACACATACAAGCCTGCATTTTCTCCATCTTTCTCGAATTCTCCCATTCGTCCGTACAACCGATGACACCACACTCAAACTGAACCAAAACCTCACAGATTGAACTTCTAAGGACCACCCTCGAGTTCCTTGCAAGCCCGCGAGCTTAACCATATCCTCTGTTCAAAGAAAG